TTCGATACTATCTCCGTTTAGGCAACGCTAACTAGTGTATACTTAACACAGAGTTTTAAGTATAATATCATATATACACATCTTAACACATATTGAACCATAACTAGTTCGCACGTTGTATATCATCAAATATATATCTAACACATATTTCGGGCAATAACAAATATTTCACATACATATATATTTAATACTTTGATCAATACTTGTATTAGAATCATGTTCATGAAAGGGACTATGCACATGATACCTTATCAGATGAACACATAGTTCAAAAATATTTGATGAACACATAGTTCAAAATCACCTAATGAACACATAGTTCAAAAATACGTAATCCGTACTCCCGGATCTAAAATTTACCTCCTTACCTAATCCATATTCCCGGATCGGGTATGTCTAATCCATCTTAATAAACAAACAATATATATACACATAGTACGTATTTTATAAGATACTTCATATCTATGTGTAAGATGAAAGTGACTATACACTCACCTGATAAGATGATTATCGCACAGCACTACGGCTCTTTCGGCAGTATTCTTCGGTGAAACTGTGATCTCTTCACACACCGGGCTTATCGCAGGCAGAGCTTTGGCTCGAAACTCTTTTCTTCTCAGGATCTTCGGTGCTTTGGGACTCGCTTTGGGTATCGGGATGATACCGGGGCTTCGGGGGTACTTTAAGAGGGATAGAGAGGGTATAGGGAGAGAGGGAGTAAGAAAATAGCAACCAAAATCGACTGCCCTTCGATTTCTATTTATAGGGGTGAAATACTGAATTCACGTCGTGAAACTCAAAATTCACGTCGTGAGTTCAGTAGTCATCAGGTGCGTCATCGCAACTTGCGTCTGTCAGGCTCCAGAATTCATTAATACTGAGTTCACGTCGTGAACACTGTATTCACGTCGTGAATCCTGACACAGTGTTGGGGTTCGCACCCCGAACTTCAGAAATTCATATCTTTCGCATACGAGCTCCGTTTTCGACGTTCTTTATATCCACGCGTAGGTGAGATTATACTCTACAACTCTCGTTTAGCCTCCGTCGGCTAATTTTGAATTTATTTTTTATTATATTATTTTTAGTAGGCCGGGACAGGAAAACTCCGTTAAGAATTCACAACTCCTTCATCTGACGTCCGTTTTCGTCTGTCTTTTTACCGTTGGACTACTATCGACGAGATCTTCGATTCTCGTTTAGATTGTTTTGGCTAGAAACCACTCGATCTTATATTCGAACTTTGGGCTGCATACCGCTAAGTCAAAACTTCGAAAAATCATAACTTCCTTATACGAAGTTAGATTTAGACGTTCTTTTTATGCACGCTCTCGGTCTTACGTATTCTACGACTTTCGTTTAGATCGCTAAGGCCAAATATCGCTCTATCGTAAATTCACTATTTACGTCGCGCTGTGTCGTGCCGGTTCTGTCGTGAAACTTCGACAGGCCATAACTTCTTCGCTATAACTCGGATTTTGGCATTCTTTATATATCCGGAATCCTTGTCACGACCACTACAACTTAGTTAGGATTATTCATTCTAAATAATCTTTTATCAAAAAGTCATTTTTGATGTTTATCGTCCCAAACCCACTCCATTCTCAGCCTCCACATCTCCAACACCCTCTCTTGAAACCCTAACCCTAGATTGAGCATTGTGAGAAAAAATAAGGTGTTTTTAAGTGCTTTGGAGGGTTCTTGGTGCATATTCGAGAAGAAGGAACTCATGGAAGAAGTGTTGGTTGCATTGGAGCCATTAGATCCAAACTTTGTTCACCTTGATCTTTATTCTAGAGGTATAAAGTTTGAATTTTGATGATGATATTGTTAGATCTAGCTAGTTTTGAGTGTTATGAGCTTTTGGTCACTTTAAGTGCATAAAGTTTAGATTTTGAAAGTTTGTGACCGTGTTATGGATAAAGTTGGAAACTTGATCCATCTAAACATCATTTTGATTCAGATCTGAAGTTTAGAGACTTTGATTTAATGGATTAAGTTGAAAAGATGCACTTTTTGGGGTCCCTTTGAGACTTAAAGACTATATATTGTTTGTTGGGACCATTCTAATGGATAAACTTGGAAACTTTATCCATTATGGAGTTATTTTGAACCATAAAAATATGATCTTGAGTGTTGTATGTAACCCATGCATGTGTTAGATGGTTTTAATTGGTTAAGAACATAGGGTTTTGGACATTAAGCACTTAATGGTCATGCAAGACCATAAAGTTGGAAACTTTATGGTCAAGGACATCATTTCGGACTTGGATCTGGAAAATTGGCTTAAGAGCTTAAGGATTAAGCTCTTAATGAATTGGGTTGACAGCCAGCCGCATACGTTGGGCGTACTCAGCTGGGTTGACTCGGATAACTTTTTGGAATTTTGACTTTTACCTGATTTTGACCAAGTTTGACCTAGGGGTATTTTGGGTATTTTTGGATTGTGTTTGAGAATTGGTCATTTGGATGGATAGGTGACGGTTAGAGCTGAGATTCAGAGTCAGGACCTCATCGGCTATTGATCAGATCGAGAGGTGAGTTTCCTCACTATACTTATGGGTCAAAGGCACCGAGGCCAACCCATTAGATTTGATATCCTGCTCTGTGATAGAATGCCGTTATGATGTAGTGATTTGTTAGATATGTCTGATAGTTTATTGGTCGGTTATATGTTTATATGTTTTATGTGCACATATTTTGGTTAATGGTTGAGGCTTTACCGCTATGTGTGTGAGCCAACAGACCGGGGGATTCCAAACCGATGGTTGATTAGGCCCGAGGGTATTCCATCCCGAGGATGACTGGACCCGTTGTATATTGGCATTCCAACCTGGGGTATTCCATCTCAAGGATGACTGGACCCGTAGGTTGACTGGGCCTAAGGTATTCCAACCCGATGGTTGACTGGACCCGTTGTATATTGGCATTCCAACCTGGGGTATTCCATCCCGAGGATGACTGGACCCGGAGGTTGACTAGGCCTGGGGTATTCCAACCCAATGGTTGACTGGACCTGTTGTATATTGGCATTCCAACCTGGGGTATTCCATCCTGAGGATGACTGGACCCAACGGTTGACTGGGCCTGGGGTATTCCAACCTGATGGTTGATTGGACCCGACATGCTTGATTGTATATGTTATATGTTTGTGTGGTGGTACTTTGGGGGAACTCACTAAGCTTCGTGCTTACAGTTTCAGTTTATTGTTTCAGGTACTTTAGATGATTGTGGCAAGGCGAATGCGTGATCGTACACATCCTTGGTTTTACGACTGATTGGATATTGGGAGACTCTAGTTTTAAATAATGTTTTGGAAACAATGGTTTTGTAAACACTTCTTTTAGTAAATGGGTTGTTTTGAAAAGTTTAAATTTGTTGTCATTTTTGAGTCGTTACAATATGTCATGCTGTCACATCAACTTTTTTGCATCCATATCACTGTCACGTCATTTATGTTACTTTAAATGCATAACATGTCATTTAGGTGGGACGAGTCAAGATTACACTAAGGCTGGAGGGAGCGGTGCCACTGAAACCGCACTCCCTCCTATGCCACGTAGATGCCAGCTCATTTTTCTCATTTTATCAATTTGAAACCACAAAGGTAGGAGTGGGAAAACGGTTAGGAGAGAGAAAAAAAAGAAAAAGAAAGAAAGATGATTGGTTGGGAGAGGAGAGAGAGAGCAAGTAAAAGAGGAGAGAAAGAAAGGGGAGTGCACCCCTGGAAGGCCGCACTGCGGCCTAGACCGCACCCACTCCCTCTGGTCTAAATGGTTTCATATTGAAAAAAAAAAGATAATAATAAACCAATGAAAAGCTTTCAACCATTGCCTTCTCTCTCATCTCTCATCAGCAATAAAATACCGTTTTGGGTCATATTGTTTGGCAAGACACCATCAGGAATGGTGTATGTCATGGATGTCAAATACAAACGGTGTATTTCATGGATGCCAAATAGATGTCACCTATATGTAAGGTGTTGTTTCTTTAAAAAAAAAAGCTTTAAACCACTTTTTGTTGTGTGGCGCAGCACGTGTAATACTTGCTCTCTGGCAACAGTTTGTTTTTTGGAAGACTTCATACTACAAAACTTCTATGTCTGTTCTGTGCGGCGCAACACTTAACTTGTCTCTTCAAACCTCTTCAGGTTTCATTTTTTTCCAAGTGTTTTTTTTTTCTTTTTTAGAATTTTAGTATAACTTATTTTTTTAAACTTTGATTTACGGATTCGATACAATTTTTTTTATAGTTTCCACAATTTTTCATAACTTGATTTTTTTTAAAAAAAACTATAATTTTTTTAATTTTTTTTACCGTTTCTGTTAATACTATTTTTTGTTTCGGTTGCATCTTTCTTAACATGTGTAATTCTTTTACGAACTTTGTAGACATGGTTTGTGATATTTTTTTGATTGTTTTTATGTTTTTTAAAATTAGTTTTTTTGTAGAATAAAACTGATAGCTTCTTTTACATTTTTTAGAAACTTTATATTTTTGTTTTTTTACATGTTCTTTTTATTATTTTTTTTCAATATTTTAAGACTAGAATTATTAAAATTTTGGTACTGAAGATTATTTTCAGTTTATAAAATTTAATTTATTTAAATTTCAATTTACTGCAGCAGTCTGGAGATGTTAAAAAATAAATATGTTTTTTATTACAGGATGCAGACGCTTGATACACTTTTTCTACTGCAGAAGATTGCAGAAATAGTCCGGTTATAAAACTTCGCTTCGAAAAAATAAACATATCTTAGACTCCCAAGCATAATGAAAACAAGAACAAAATTTTATCATAAACTAAAGTAGATTCTTTTATTTATTATTTTTTAATACGAATCCCAATGGATTTCAAAAGCTTTTTAAATCTATTTGAAAATAAAACCAAAAACTTGTGATCGATATCTCGTAACGTGCGTCTCACGTGACATCCTAAACGGTTGCTAGTTGCTAGTTGCTACATTAGATTTTGGGTTAAAAAATGCGTGGTGCTGCGTGTCATGTCTCTTCAGCTGTAAAATTATACGTATACAGAATACAGATACCTCGGCGATTCGCGAACGGAGAAAAATGGTTGCCGACGACAAAAGGCATCTGATGCAAAATTTGTTCGGTGATCAATCGGAGGAAGAGGAAGAAGAAGAAGAAGAAGAAGTTGAATCAGAGCACGAATCTAATCGTCAGCCCGATTACGCATCCGTACGACCTATCTCTCCTAGTTTTCTTGTTGAATAATTGGTTAATTTTGATGGAAACAAGCTTAAATTTGTTCGGCATTGTATCTTCATAATGATCACATTGAATGTGTTTAGATCCTAATTGATATAAGGAAGTTGAATTTGTTCGCCGGGTGCCTTGTCTACAATATGTACATGTATGTCCTGAGATTAGGGAATTGAAGGAGTGTGGCGGTAGAATGAGGTTACTGTTGATTGTTTAAGGGAATACTGTAACTAGGAAATTTTGACTTCTGAGAATCAGAGATATGCTTTTCGTAGTTGCACATTGATTTTTATCAAATTTGAGAGAATTCTTAAACCACATCAAACTTTATTAGAAGTATTACGAGTACAATCAAGTTGTAAACCTTATCTTACATCATTGATGTTTACATGTGGTTGAATTCTTTGTTCAGGATGAAGGGGACATTGGGCTGAAACCTGAAGCTGAAGATGTGGTAGAAGGCCAAGGGGAAGCAGATTTAGGCAATGATGGTGAACTGCATGAGATAAATGATGATCAGATTGAGAGTGAGGGTGAAAGAGATCATAACTCACAAGAAGTAGATTTGGGAGACCAGAGGGATGAAAGTGAAGGAAATGACTCAAGGAGTGACCAAAGAGAAGATTACAATCAAAGAGTCGTAACAAGTAGGATAAGGGATGTAGTGGAGAGTGATTCAGAAAGATCTGAGGAGAATCATTATGTTGGCAATGCAGATGAAGAAGTTGATCATGCTACAAGTCCGAGGTAATGTGCTCAACTCTGAAGAAGGGTTGAAGAAGTTGATCATGCTACAAAGTCCAAAAATTTTTTTTTTTTACCTCACATTCAACCTCTCTGCTTTGCTTCATGTTATAGGTCACCTGATGAAGCCCACATATCAAATACAGCACCTGAACTGCGTGATGTATTTGGGGAATCTGATGATGAAGAAGCAGAAGAATATAATGCTGTTCAGAATCATCCCAAGGACAATTCAAATGTTTGTAACAATTCTTAAAAACAATAATGCCTATATTCCTTATTACTATAAATCTATCTGTATGATGGTGCATGTGTTATTTTATGGCTTTAAGAAGTTTAATGGATTTTCTTTTCATAGAGATCTCCAATGGAAGAGGAAGGTTATGAAAACGATCTGAGGCCAGAAGACATGTTAGCTGATGAAGAGGGACGCTATTATTCTGAAGAGGATAACATTGAGATTAAAACCAAAGAGAAACCAGTTGGACCTCCATTGGAACTAGGGATTCCTTTGCGACCTCCTCCTTCACATCCCGAAAAGGTTATAATAAAACTTAAAAGTCATTTTTGTAGATGATGAAAAGGGTTGCTATTAGCTGATGTGGCATTGACATGATGTCCATGTGGACTCCTTAATTGAATTTCTTTGTTTCCTGATTACAGATGAATATGATCAAAGTTTCTAACATTATGGGGATTGATCCTAAACCATTTGATCCAAAGACATTTGTTGAAGAGGATGCATTCGTTGCTGATGAATCTGGACACACCAAAAGGATTCGTTTGGAGAACAATATTGTTCGCTACAGGGCTGTGAGAAATCCTGATGGAACAAAATCTGTAAGTTTATATTGGAGTTCCAAGCAATCTGTTTTCAACTTTTAATGAAAAATCTGTATCATGTTTATGGTCTTCTTCTTTTTTTCTTATGAATATCTGTTTTTTGCAGTATGAAAGCAATGCACGGTTTATTAGATGGTCAGATGGCAGCTTACAGTTACAGATTGGGAATGAAGTTCTTGACATTTCTGTGCAAGATGCTCAGCATGATCAAGCTCATCTTTTTCTTCGACATGAAAAGGTATGCATATATTCTTCATGAAGTTGTTGACTATAGATCTCCCATTGTGAAAAAGACATGAATGCCCCCATCCTCATCATTGAAAATACCTTACAGAGCTTGTTCAGTCTTGTCAGCTCCTGTCCAATGTAACAATCGCAGCATAAGCCCAATATTGCAACTTTTGAAGAATCACTTAGACCATGATGACTTGAATTTAAGTTGGTTAACCATGAGATATTTTTGTATATGAATTGATGCCAGCTACTCACAAGAACTTCAAGTCTCATTTCATAAAGGGCTAAATGCAAGAAATAGCAACGTACTTTCATTCATTTGTTTATTGCTGCATTTCTTCCTATTACAGCATTGTACTTTGAGAAATCTAGCTAATTTAGCAATGTTATCCAATTACAAATCAATTTTCATTGCTATAGTTGGGTGGATTTTTAAAAGTATAGTGTCCTAATAGAAGTAAAATGTTATAATGGGTAGATTTTCCAGAGTGCAATCAATGCCTTGCTAAAAAAAAAGTTTGTAAACTCAATGTTATTATACACAAGAATAAATAAAATATGTTCCTATTTCTCACATTTAGGTCTTTCACATATCCCCATATGATCCTTCATTTGCCTATGTCTATAGTGTGTAGTAGTTATGATTTCAAAAGATTTTGAGGTAGTTTTTTGTGTATTGTATTATTTGGTATGAATATGGAAAAATGAAATGCAGGGAATCCTCCAATCTCAGGGGAGAGTTTTGAGAAAGATGAGATTTATGCCTTCATCCTTGAGTTCTAATTCTCACAGATTATTGACTGCACTCGTTGATTCACGCCATAAAAAAGTGTTCAGAGTTAAAAACTGTGTCACTGCCATTGACCCTGAGAGGGAGAAGGAACAAAAAGAGAAGGTACGTTACAATTATGTATACTTTTTTTTTTGGCATCCAAATTAAGGGGTTTTAACTTTTAATTAGGGTTAAAATTGGAAGTAGAATGGTATTATTGTGTAAATTGTTTGAACCACAGTGGCTTAATGAGCAAAAAAATAAAACAGGAAGTAGAATGCTGTAAATAAAAAAAACCAAGGATGCTATAAGACTGAAATAAATGAAAAATTATGTTGTTATTTTTTATAAGGTATAATATGGGTTATGGGTTTATTTGATTCCAGGCTGAAAGTCAAACAATCAGGGCGAATGAAGTTCTTAGCCGGAAGAAGGAAAAGGTGAACCGGAAATACACACACAGTGTGCGCAGGGAGCGTCAACTTTCACCTGGTTTCTTGGAGGATGCACTTGATGAGGTTTAAATAATTATAAATCTATTATTACATTCTTGTTCATGAATCATGAATATGTCTTTTAATTCTAATAATAAATAGTAGTATTATTTTTCCAACTTACTGAAATTGTATACATATATCTTTGTGACTTAAAAATAAAATTAGGAGGAGGAACCGGATTATTATGAATCTCGACCATCCGCTCGTCGCCGCTTTGAGGAAGACCTGGAAATGGAAGCTCGAGCTGAGAAACGGATCATCAATGCAAAAAGGGTATGTATTATGTATGTATAAGCTACTACACAGGACAATCCCCTTCTCATAATCATAAAAACTACTGTGTATTACATGCGTGTCTTCTGTGTGACAAATAATTTGTATGATTTTTGTATTTGATAAGTTTTATCTGTGACCAGTCTCAAGGGCATAAAGATATTGGTCGCAAGTCATCTGCATCTTCTATCAAGTCATCAAGGCGTCCGGTTGATGACTATGAGGAGGAATCCGAGTATGAAACCGAAGAAGAGGAGGAGGAGAGGTCCCCTCAACATATAAGAGGTGAAGAGCCACAGCAGTATGATGATGATGATGAAGAACCTCAGGTATATGCATGTCATTAATCTTTCTTACAAAAGGAATTGGAATTTGTGATTCCATTCCGATGTCAGGTTTGGTTTGGTTTGGTTTGGTTTCCAAAATGGACGGAATTCTCTAAGTTATTTGTTGAAAAGACCAAAATCTGAGTTTGTTGTGAATTCTGTCTCATGTGATAAATGTTGTTGTTGAGCAGTTTAATAAGCACAAGGGTTCAGGAGGAGGACATCAGAAGCGTAAGGAGATGGATTCGGATGAGGAGGAGGAGGAGTTGGAGTCTCCGTCTCCTCCACGAAAGGCTACATCATCAACATCACATCGCCGAAAGGCACTTGTTTATGATAGTGATGAAGATTAATCATAATAATCAATGCTTCATTCAAATCTTATCTCTTGTATTTATTTTATTTTAGATACATAGGAGTCCCTTTTTCATTTGAAATCACTAAATTAGTGGGATACGTATAGTGTAACCGGACTTATCTTTTCTTGTATATATTCCATGTCCGTTCTTCATTTCAATACATAGAAAAACAAAGATTGCTTTTCATCTCATCTCAAAACTCACTCTCACTTTCTACTTTACATCTTTTTCTAGATAAATGGTAGGTTATCACAATAATTTTACATGATGAAGAACAAGTTTTGGCCTTATTACACATGCAAACTACAGTGTTTCTTTACTTATTTTAACAAGAAAGATGGTTACCTCACAATGTTTTATTTATTATTATTATTATTATTATTATTATTATTATTATTATTATTATTATTTTAAATAATGGTTTATTTATGCGTATTTGTCAACCATTGTCACAATGGTTTCTATTTATGTGCATTTGTCATCCACAATTGTCACGAAAACCATTTGAACTAAAGAAAACGAAGAACCCCAATATAGACATGATAATGTTGTGAGTAAAACAGAATGCAATGCATACAAGTAATTAAATTCAAACAAGTAATTGAAATTGAAAGTATTTTTTGGTGATTATGGAGTGTATCAGGCAGCAGTGGTTTCAGCACCATCATGAAGAGCACAGCAGACGGTGGCTTTATGATGTCCCTGATAAACTCTAATATCTTCACCAGTTGACATTGACCAAAGCCTTGCTGTTGTATCAGACGAAGCTGAAACAAACCATCAACAAGACTTAATTAAGATGGGTTACAACTAATAATTACTCTTAATTATTATTATATCAAAAAGCCTGAAATTTTATCAAATATACACACCTGTAATGAGATAAGCACCATCTACAGAAAACACGCAATCCCATACCCATCGTTGGTGCCCTGAAACACACATCATATATTTATATTCATGCAATGTTTGTTTAAGACATGTATAATAGTAATGTAAAATGTAATATAAACATACCAACTAGTGTTTTCTCCAAAGTAAAACCATCTACATTCCATATCTTGACTGTACTATCAGAAGATGCAGTTGCCAGATACCTATTTCAACAATCAATCAATCAGCCCAAAGCCAAGCCAACAAAAAAGCCAAAAGGAATGAAAAATGTAACCTCTGAGGTTCACAAAACTCGGGTGATAGGAGACATTTGAGGATATAACCATCATGAGCCTGTAGCTTGTGAAGTGGCTCAAAATTGGTCATTGTCTGCAGTAAATAACACAGATCATGAGATTAAGTCAAAAAAGAAACAATACTGGTTGAAAAAGAGAATAAATAGTGAATTTACCTGTGTCCCACGTAAGAGCCTCCAGACATAACATGTTCCTTTGTTGTTTGCAGCAACTACCAAGCTTCCATCCCACATCACTGTCAATGATCTCACTGCTGTATCAACCTCTGGCACCTGGGTTCAGTTCAAACTTCAAACTTCAAACCCATACAGCTTAATCAATATATGCTGAAAATTAAAAGCAAAATCATACCAGCTCACAGCTACAAGAGTTTGCAGTCAAGTCCCATACACGAATATTGCCATTTTGATCACCAGATATCAGCTCAGTCTGCACACCCAACAACAAACCAAATTATATATAAATATAAATCTAATTTTCACAAGGAATAGAATCAATCATAGACACCTGATTTGGATGCAAAACCACCGTGTTAACAGCAGCTCGACTTTCATATTCTCGTTGACACCCTGGTGCCCTATATTCATCCCATTTCAATCAATCATCAACCTTAAGGATAACAAGGGTATTTACGTCTTTTGCAGACTAACCTCAAATCCCAGATCTTTACAGTTCCATCTTCAGAACCCGAGTACATCCATTTTCCATCACACTGAAATCCCACAGCCATAACATTGTTTGTGTGTGAATCATAGCTCATCACCTGTCAATCATTATCACAAATAAACCCTAACACATATTAGCCCCAACCTATACATAATATATATGTATCTGTGAGTCAACAAGAGAGAGAGACAGAGAGATACAGGCTGAGGGCTGGTGGAGTTGACATCAAAAAGTCGAATGTGTGGGTTCCCTGCAGCAGCTAGGTACCTCTTATCTGGAGTTATCTCCAGCCGATTAACTTGCTGTACAAAACAACAAGGTTCATGAGAATAAATAATGACAAGTTCCCATTGCATGGTAAAACATAGGATTTTGGGATCTTACAGATTCTGGGTACTGAATCGTTCGATAGCAGCGCCCACTTTTGGCTTCCCAGAACCTAATGGTGTGATCATAGCTAGCAGTTGCTAAAATTACCGATGGTTGAGTCATACCTTATTTCCTCCTGCTCAACACCAAACAACCAACAATAGGTAACCTAAACATTAAGCATACAGATAGCATCTATATGAGATGACGAAGACCATTGGTTTTGTCCACTTTACTTCTAATAAACTATAGGAACTGTATAAGTAATTGTGGAAGATGAAAGTACTGTTGTTATCACTCATGAACCAACGATTCCTGGATACATCAATTATAATTATGTTCCTCCGATCTTCAAGATCAAAAACTTGTATGATGAAACACCTCTGAACATATATAACTTCTTCGCATGGGTTATTGATCTAATTCAACAAACCCTGATACATTTGGGAAAGTCAAAAGAAGTAAGGGTTTAAGTACTTAAGTGATTGATTGTTCAAGGATATTACTAAAGTGAATGAGGAAATGAGGATTATAAACGTTACCTTGCGATGAATTTGCATCAAAAAAATCTTCAAGACCTAGAACATAGGCTCTTCCGCGGACACGGATTTGTTGGGAAACTTAAATAGAATAAATAAAAAAAAGGTTAAGTGCCCAATTGAATAATTTTCGAGATTCTGCAAAACCACCGGGAATAGTTTGTGTGAATTACGGGAGCGGCGACGAGAGTGACGACTGCCGATCAGTAGTGGGCTTTTCTGGCGGCTTGTTCATGGGCTGATTGTTTGTCGGAAACAGACTTCAGTACAAGAACCCTATGAACAAAATTATTAAACTAACCATTTTACAAAATGTAGTATTTAAGAAAATAATCGAAAATAATATTATTCTTATATGTACAAGTGAGATAGAAACATGGAGCATGAAAGAATTAATCGCAAAGTGATCAAGAATTTGTCTAGGGCGTGATGTGTCTGCCGCTTAGTAAGGAACACAGGTCGTCCCCGCAAAATGGCCTTAGGCCTTAAACATTGGGAATTTGGCCTATTTAAGAACACTCATCGCAGGGTTTTGTTATTTTCAGCATCCATCTATTTTAGAACACATCTAATGAAACTTTAGCCTCTTTTGAAGTGATCGGAGATCATCATCTCTCCTATGTCCATTTTGGTGCCCATTTATGCTCTTTTGGTGTTCTTGGGTAAGGAAAACATGAAAGCTTGGGCAAAGAAGCGTTGTTCTTGAGGAAATCAATCTTATATTCACATCTGCACCTAGATTCAAGGTTTATTAGGTTTCTTGCACAGATCTAAAAGTTTGATGTGTTTTTAATCAATTCTGTTGAGTTTGGTCCCTTTGAGGTTTGTTTCTTGGAGTTTGATGAACTCCAAAGCTTGTGATTGATGCTTAGAATCATCTCTGACATTAGGATGGAGTAAAGAGTGTATGCAATATCTCTATTTGCTCCATGCATAAAGATAAGTGTATTTTTGGACACCTCTTGTCACACCCCCAAACCAGAACGGCGAAAACGTCTGGGGTGGATGATTTTCATGTACAGTATCATCACAATTGAATAGTAGCGATCAAAACATTTGTAACATCCCATTTTTTCAAGTAGCTTCATATTCATCCCTCGGATTTGAATTATGTCATTTTTGGCCCTTGGCTTGGAAGGAAGTGGCAAAAGGAGGCCCTAGTGGCAAAATGGAAGTTTTGGGGTTGAAGTAGTATGTCGGGCGTACATGTGGTACGCTAAGCGTACTAGGGCGTGCCCTAGTACGATGGGCGTACACATGAGTACGTTGGGCGTACGTGTGCCAGGAAGGAACCCTAACTTTTAGGGTTTGTGGAGTATTTAAACACTTTATGGACCATTCCCTCTCATCTCATTCAGCCTCCACACCTCCCTTAGCCGTCTTGAGAGAACCCGAGCCTTCTAGTGATCATTCTTGAGCTTTTAAGAGTGTTCTTGTGCCTTTAAGAAGAAGCTTGTGCATCAAGGAGCCAATGAGGGAAGAGTTAGCTTGTAGATCTTGGTTCATCATCTGTTTTGGGAACTCCATAAGGTATAAAGTTGTTATCTTTGTGCCAATTTCTTCTAGATCTATTCTTGGTAGTTTATTTGCACTCTTTTGTCCCATAAAGTCCCATTATAATGCATGGTTCGTTTTGGACGATTTGAGTTGTCCTTTCAGGCTTTAGAATGGGTCCTAAGGCATAAAAATGAAGTCCCTTGGGCTAGTTGGGTCCCTAGTTCTTGGTAGGAGGTCTTAATGGATTAAGACCATGTATTGAGCCCTTTTCAGTCGACCAAAGTCTTAAAGTTTGAGACTTTATGGTCCTAGAGCACATTTGAGCAGTAGATCTGAAGGTTAAGCTTAAGTGCTTAACCCATTAAGCATGTATGAAAGTTTTAAGATCTGCGAGGTTACGCCCCGCGTAAATCCAGTACGCCCAATGTACTGGGTTAACCGCCCCGATGGTGGTCAACATCATGAGAGTACGCCCAGCGTACCAGAGGAGTACGCCCCGCGGTACTTCCTCTGTTGGGCTTATGTTATTTGGGTTTCGGGTTTGGGCTGTTTAGGGGTTAGTTGGACTTGGGCCTTTGCTGGACTTTATGGATGTGGTGTTTTGGGCCAAGTCTTGATAAAGGATCTTGGAATTAGGACCAATTAGGGAGTCGGGGCCAATTTGGTAAGTTGGGCCAATAATGGGCCTTACATATGTAGACTTGTGGATCATGGATTTAGTATTGGGCCTTGACCCAAATTAGAGAAAAGACAAATTGGACTATATGGACCCCCCCCCCTTAGTCAGGTTTGATAGCCCATATGTTGACTCATCATTCGTTATTTTGGATAGTTTGGGATTTTCGGTGAGACAACACTTCGGGAGTCGATACTTCGGTTTAGACCGACATTGCGAGGTGAGTTATCCTCACTATATCAACAGGGTCTAAGGCACCAAGGCCGACCCTTTATCTGATTTGTATCTGGGTATTTGCTCGATATGTTTATTTGATCTGCTAGATCTGCATCCTGGTAGTTAGGATGGTATTATGTTTAGTGACATGGTTTAGGTCGGTATCCTGGTATATAGGATGATGTTATGTTAGTGACAGGTTAGGTCGGTATCCTGGTTATAGGATGGTTGTTGTGTTAGTGATCTGTTATATTGGTATGATTATCTGTTATATACATGATAGCATATGATATTTATGTGCACATGATTGTTTGATTGGTATGGGGGTTGGATTGAGGCAGAACCTGCTTCGTGCTGTAGGCCAACATACCCAGGGCGGACCGGATAGACTGCAGGCCCAGGAGGTCACATAGTCAAGCCGAAGGCCCAACGAGCGGTCCGGATAGGCTGAAGGCCCTGAGAGGGCGGTCCAGACATGCCGAGGCTCGGAGAGTGGGCCAGATAGACTGAAGGCCCGGTGTGGGCGGTCCAGTCATACTGTAGACTCAGAGAGTGGACCAAGTGGGCTGAAGGCCCGGTGCGGGCGGACTATTCACACTGTGGACTCGAGATGCATGGTTGTTCTGTATTTGGTTATATGATATGTTCATGGTTGTATGAGGTTGGTATTTTTGGGGTAATTCACTAAGCCTTCGAGCTTACATTTATCGATTATTATTTCAGGTACAACGGATGACCGCGAGAAGGCGAAGGCATGACCGTACACTTCCTCATATTTTGATTTGGATTTATGGGATACTCTGATATGAAACTATTTTGGAAACCTTTTTGTAATAACTATTGGTATTTGGAATGTTTTTAAAAGTTTAAATTTGGCATAATTTTTATGGATGTTACAACATTACAACCATTGTATTGAATATTTAATAAGTTTACATTGTACTCAAAAAAATTTTCTACTTGACATCAAATGTATATGACAAAAATAAATAACGTGATGCGACGATGCCTCATCCTCCAAAAACACTTTGATTACGTGTTTATTGATTTCCTGAGAATAAAAGTGATTTTGAAAAGTGTCAACAATTAAGTTGGTGAGTTCATAAGCGTTTAGTGTGAGAAGGATTTGTAACTGTTTCGTGTAAAATGATAGTGTATACTTCCATAAAATCCTATATTTTCTTTAAAAACGAATTGTAAGTCTTATACTTAAGGCTAAAAATGTAAGTAATGCTGTACTGGAAAAATGGTGTTATGAAGTTTTATCTTTATATAGAACTACTTGAATATATGTTAACCCGTAAACCAAATGTTTTGTTAATACTCCATTTGAGTTATTATAACCATACTAATGCGTCTAGTGGCCTGAACGACATGCTTCGGGCGTCGGAACTGTTACGACATTTGTCACCCCAGACCTGTCGGTCTAACTGTAGCTAATAGTTTAGGTGCGGGGTTGTCAATCCCGTATAGATCTATACACAAGTGTTACGCTCTCCCTACAAGAGACTCTGGTTATAATTCAGGACCCTCACCCTATCAGAAACAGACATGCGAAACTCACTTGGACATTCTGGTTCAGATTCTTCATTATGAAGTAATGGAATCCAGTGACAAAACCCGAAGCATGACATAGCATGGATTCGACACACATACGGAGAACAAGAACACCATAGGAAGGTCCAGAGACAACAAACCCCCATAGCTGAAACTAAGGCAATCATAGCAAGGACATGGAACAGAGGAAACCACTCACGAGGCTTGCTAGGTGGTAGAGCACCTTATGCGTCACACTAATAAATAACCAAATAACATAACCCAATGAGTTAGTGGTTATGCTAATCACATTATGTGTTAGGCATATCGCCATTTCGATAACAACTAGTAACAGTAAACCAAGTCACAAAAATTCATTTAAGAGGTGATTACTAATAAAAATTCATAAGTCTATTATACATAGAACCCTGTTATGAATCATTTTCAAAACCCTTTAAAAATCAGAACATGATACACTCAGAACTAAGATAACTTAGAGTCAGAATGTACACGACCTATAGCCATTACTAAAGACTTACCACCGTTTCACCTTTTAAACCGTATAGTAGAACGATACCCCTACGTAGACTTATGGGGTGCGATCATACCAGCACTAATGCACCGGATCCCATCAGAACTCCGATGTTAAGCGTGCTTGAGAGAGATTACTACTAGCACGGGCGAACTTAACACTTGTAATATACATATTTCTACCCGCTGCCATAAATACATCATAGAGATGCGGGACGAAACACTGAGAATCGTACAAAAAAATGTAAAATTTATATGTGTATATAAATAGTAAGAATGCGACTAGCAACGACCATGGTTACTCATGAGCTCGTTTCTCACCATGAAACAGAATCATGCCTCCAAAAGGAAGTATACAACCAACCGGCAAAACACCAATCCTGCAGATAGATTCTGCTACTTTTCAAGCTGCGGTCACAGCCGCCGTGTCAGCCGTCAAGGTACATCTCAATGCGAACAACACAAACGAAAATAGAAACAGTGTCGTCAATTCCAACCGCGGTGATAAACAAGGAACCCAAAGAGTGCCTACCTACAAGGACACCCCAAACCCCAAACCTAAAAACATGAAACGAAAGATCAAGATCGAAAAAGGGAGCAGTACAACTCAAGGGCCTACCAAAAGGCAACAAGCGGTAGCAGTCCCTACCCTCACTGACTCTACTACCTCAACACCGACAAAACCATACTATGAAAATCTCCCACGATGTAGCAAGTGCTACTACCATCACCATGGAGTCTGCAGAGAGTTGCATTGTAATAGGTGCAACAAGAAGGGGCACACTGCTCGCGTTTGTAGGACTACAGCCCAACACATCACTTCCACTACCAATGTTGGTACGAGCCAAGTATGTCATGCATGTGGTGAGACTGGGCATTTCAAGAGAGATTGCTCAACAGAGAGGAACAATGGAGGAGCGGGAGGAGTTTAACGTTAAGA